TGATAATTACAGGGAGAGACGCATGTTCATTTTATACTCACTCACACCCTCCTGCAGTCAGTTCTATATTTAAAAGTGTCAGTGGCTCAAGAAATTCTTTGACAAATCTCTGCTGTTGACACCACTATCCATACTCTGGGAGGCTTCATTCCCATTGTAATAAGCATCTCTTTCATACGCTGACAACACATGCTGCTTCACAGCCCCTACAGCTTGTGATCAGAATCCAGCTACACACTCACCATCACAGCCCCTCTGTCGTGGCCAAGGTTTTACATTGTCAAATTGATGTTTCTGGCAAGCCTTCAGACATGAAGTCTCACAATGTCTTGGATTTCAATAACAGGCTTTGTCTCTCCTTGGTGAACCATCTCTTTGAAAAAACACTGGACTGCACTCCAGAGAATTTGATGGGCAGCATGAGACAGCAGTTACCGGCAACACCCATCCCCACCAAACTTCTTCTTTTGGGAGGTGGGATGGTGAGTAGAGGATTCGGAAGTTTGGAAAATCAGTCAGATAGTAAGTTGACCTCTCTGAGACTCAGCTTCCAACACAGCCGCTGGGGAAAGTCTCCCTCTCTCAGTTGTAAAGGTCCTGCACACCAGGAGTTAGAGACTCTACACCCTTGCCCAACCTTGCACCAACACAAAACTGCTCCTAATAAACAATCTCCATCTGAGAAACCAAAATATCTTACAGCAAGGAAGGCCCTTCAGCCCTTCATGCCTGCACAGTTTTCTCAAACCGCTATCTACTTCCTCTGCTGTTTCTCCACTGTCTAATAATAGCTTTCACTTCAAGTATTTGTTTAATTCCTGTTTGAAGGTTGAATCTGAAATATCAAATCTGCTTCCACTGGCCCTTCACGCACCACGCTGTGGATCATAACCAGTTGCTCCTTGTCCCTGCTCCGGTATAAATCACCCTTAATTCGTGTCTGTTAATAGCCCCACTTGCCAGTGGAGACATTTTATTTTTATTTTCTTCTCAAACCCCATTATCATTTTAAAACAAAATACTGTGGATGCTGGAAATCTGAAACAAGCACAAAGTGCTGGAGAAACTCTGCATATGTGGAGAGAGAAACAGAGTTAATGTTTCAAGTCCAGTAAGACTCCTTCAGGACTTGCCCAGCACTTTCTGATTCGTCCCTTATAATTTTAAACCTCTTCTGAACCTTCTCCACTCTAAAAGCGAGCAACTCCAGCTCTTCTCGTCTCTCCAAGTAACTTCAGTCCCTTAGCGCTGCTGCCCATTCTGATGCACTCTCACTAAGGTCTTCAGGAAGTGTGAGCTCAGAGGGTAGAACACAGTTCTTCAGCTGAGACACAGACCGATTGAGGAATGTGCTCCAAAAAAATGGCTGCTGCAGGTTGGGATCACTCCATTGAGGGTTTTGCCTTTCTGAGGTCACAGCATCTATGGTGGGATCAGCAGATAATCTGTTCTAGTGACTGGATATGGGCCAAATACAGGCAAATGGGACAAGTTTAGTTTGGGAAAATTGGTCGGCATGGGTGAGTTGGACTGAAGGGTCTGTTTCCGTGCTCTATGACTCCAACAATTGAGGAATAATTATTGGCCAGGAGACTGGGCAGCATCCCACCTTCTACCTCAAAGCTGGTGTCTCCAGCTGCAAGGTGGTTTGAGACACATTAAAGTCCCGAAAAGCGCAAGTTTTGCATTTTTCTTCCTTATACAGCTTGACACAAATTAGCAACAGAACTGTGTATCTCCTGGTCTCTCTGGCTTTGGTTCAACACTGAGCACACTCTTTATCCATCAAACTATCAGGGGAACCCTCCCCTGGCCAAAAGGAGGGACCTTTGCTGAAGAATAATAGTTTGGTCAACAGATCGGCCCCAATTTGCAGATGGACTGATCCCAAAGGAAAGTGCTGGTCTAATTTCACAGCCCTGCACACTCGAGAAGCCAAATCAGTTTTCTCCCCCGAGGGGCCCAGATCTGGCTGGAGCACACACTGACCTATTTATTAAAGTACATCAATGAAATATTATTTTAAAATACATTCTGAAGGTAAAGTCAAACCATCTGGATCACTGCAGGAGTCAACAGAGATTTCTCCAGTTTCTCTGCAACGGTTCCATTTACAATAATCCATCATAATCATGTTTTCAGCTCTTGTTCCCCATGAGTCCCTCCTCATCGCGAAAAGACGTCTTTGTCTGTTAAATAAAACCTTCGACTGCTGTCGAATCTGAATTTGGAGTGTTTGCAATGTGCTAATCATGTAATAGAAACATGTTTGGTTGTCAAGAAAATACACGAGGGGCCCAGCTCACAGGGGCTGGTCAAGCACACCAAGAATCATACGGCCACAAACTATGGAAGAAGGCCATTCAGCCTGCCACGTATGTGCCTAGCCTTTGACAGACTATCCCACTTCTCTGCCTTTTTCACCACAATTCTGCAGAACTTTACTTTTCATCCAATACTTGTCCCGTTCCCCTTTGTATAATTTATCGAATCTGTTTATACTGTTCTTTCAGACAGCACATCACAACAAATGGCCTGTAGAAACATTTCTCATCTCCCTCACCTCCCGACTCTATGACCGGTTGTCTTAAAACGGTGTCTTCTGGTTACTGATTCTTCCACCCTATTCAAATTCCTCATAATTTTGAATATGTCTGTTAAATTTTCCCTTTATCGATTCTGCTCCAAGAAGAACAGTCCTAGCTTTATTATGAACAGAAGTAGGCCAGTTAATCCGACAAGACTGCTCCCGCATATTGTTAGCTGTAGCAGCTCTAAGCTATCATCTTCCCTTTTCTCCATTCCCCTATTCACAGCTATTCTTCCGGGATTTACAAGTGTTTTTATTGTTTGTTCTCCAGAGCACAGTACAAGAATGCAGCAAAATGAAAAGCTAATGAGACAAGACCCATCTCATCATTCTTTATTCAAACTGAGCAGAGGAGATCTCGTTAATGTATGTACTCCATTGTTTACTAGAATGACACCAGAAGAGTTCGGTGACTGTGGAAGCTGGGGTTACTCTCCTTCAAGGGGAGAAGGTTGAAGGGGAGATTTGAAAGGGATATCCAAAATCATTAATGGTTCTGATGGAGTAGAGAAAAAGAAACTGCTTCAGTTGCAGAAGCTTCAGTAACCAGAGGAACACACTTTTAAGTTGACTGGCAAAAGAAACAGACACTACATTTTCAGACATTGCGAATGTCAACGTGGAATCTGCTGACTGCAAAAGCAATGGAGGCAGAGTCAATATTAATTCTCAAAATGGAATTTGACAAATACTTGCAGAAGAAACTTTTCACGGCCGTGAGGAATGTGACTAGCTGTGTCGCTCTTTCAAAGAGTTATCAGAGCCACGACGGGCCAAACAGTCTCTTCCTGTGGCTCTATGATAATGAAATTTAGGATCGCCCCGCTACTGTAATGTTCACTTGCCTCAACATTATCTCCAGCAACAGAAATCAAGAGACACACCAGGAATGTGTGCTTCAGCGAGGCATCAGTTCATAATCCTGATTTATAGTAAAGAAGATTCTAATCAGACTCCTGCCAAATGTGTGATTATTACTCACGTTGTGATACTACAGCACCGCATTGATATTAACATTAATACTTAGCAGCCTGAGGTATTTGGAGATTCAATGAACTGCATTATCATGTGCCTGACCATATTCTCTCTTTCAACAACAGGGGACCAAGAAAACAAGTAGAGATTCCAATGCAACATTGATAAAAACACTTGCCTGGTTAATTGCAACTTTTTAACACATTAGGTCGTAGCAAATGGAAATTTAGTGGGAGGGGGGATTTCTATGATTAAGGGAATTGAACATATGACTAACAATTAATTCAAGGATAGGAAAGGGTCAGAATTGGAGGAGTGCAGAAATCTTAGGGTTAGCATCAGCAGAAGCAAAGGAACAAGGAAGGACAATTAATCCTATCCTATCCAACATTGTATTCTATGTTCATTTGCTCATCTTTCCTCTGGGCCCCTTCACACTTGTACCCAACAAAACCCAAACGATCTCAGTCATGAGCAAGAAAGAGAAATGGGAGAAAAGATTGATTTTCATAAGCGCTTTGTCCTTTCCAAATCATTTGTAACTAAGACAATTTAATGTCATGTATTCTGATGCTAATGTCAATCATTATCCAAAAGCATATTTGGTTACATATAAAGAACCATTCATCCAAGGTTCCTGTACTTGATGAATTTGGCAATGTCTCAATTTTAAAATTCTCATCTATGTTTTCAATTCCCTCAATGGCCTCACTGTTTCCTTGCTCTGAAATCTCTTCTATCTCTGCAACATTAAAGATCTCGGGTCTCCTCTAACCCTGGACTTTTGAGCATCCCTGATTTAAATTGTTCAACCACTGAGAGCAGGATCTTCAGCTGCCTGGGCCCTAAGTTCTGAAAATCCCTCCCAAACACTCTTCTCTCCTTTAAGACACTCAAAAATTTATCTATTTGACTAAGGTTTTGGCCAACTTTCTTAATATCTCTTTATGTGAGTTATTATCAAACTTTGTTGGATTATAATACTCCTGTAAAGGGTTTTGGGCCATTTTTGCTACATTAAAAGGAGCTATATGAATGCAAATTATTGTGATCATTACAGAATGCCAGGGCTTTCATCTCTAATTTGTCTGACAAGTAGGTGAAGAACAAAGACTGGTCATTCAATAACAAAATCCTTGGAGGAACCTATTTCTTACTCTTGCACACAGTCATGTGTTGGCAAATTCAACACGTCACAACAACAGTCAAATATCCAGAAAGTTTTTTACAAAAAAAACCGGAGCTGCAATTTATCTTTGTTCTATTTTTAATGCACAGGATTCTGCCCGTGTTAACATCCTGCAGTATTTTAATAACTCCATTAACCCATTATGTGAAACTCTCTCACTGAGGAATTTTGAGCACGCAGAAAGAATCTAACTTCACTCGATAGCTCAGCCTCAACAAGATTTATTAATGGGAATGAAGCACTTACCTCTTCTGAGCTTGGTTTCTCTGATTCCAGGTTTCATTTTCTTCCTAAATGGGTGAAAAAAAACGCTCTGATTAAAAAGCTACATTGTAAAACTGCCCTCCCAACCGAGCCCTGGATGTTTGAGACCTGAAAGCCCTCAGGTTTTGCAGTGCTCAAGATCTCAAACAACAATTTTGTTTCTTATTCTTGCATGGATGTGGGCATGCTGGCAAGATCAATATTTATTTCCAATCTCCATCAGCCCTTAAGATGGTGAGCTGCCTTCTTGAACCGCTGCGGGTGCTGTAGGTAACCCCACAGTAAAGCTGGGGAGAGTGTTCCAGGATTTTGACCCACCGACACAAAAGGCTTGTCAAAAAGTTCCAATAAGATGTTTCCAAGAGAATCTGACGCACAAAAAATTAGCCTCTGTAAGAAGAAGGGAAGATAAAACCAAAATCTGATGAAGGTCCCATGGCTGATCACCATCTGTTTCTGCTCAGCCAATGTGGAGTGAAGTTTGTAAAGGGATGGAATCAATAGTAGCTTTCAAAAGGGAATGGGAATAAATAGTTGAAGGAGAGAAAACTGCAGAGCAATGAGAAAAGTGGTAAAAAATCACTAGAGAGAGAGAGAGAGATGGTTGGGGATCAGTTCACCAAGCCTCAGGCAATATAGAACCCATCACAGTAACCTCAGCCAGTGCAGGAATTGAACCTGCGCCATTAGCATCGCTCTGCATCACAAACCAGCCAAGCCAACTGGGCAACTCAGAAATGACAAACTGGATAGAATCTTTCAGAGAGCTCACATGGATATTATGGGTTGAACAGCTTTCCCTGTGTTGCATCATTCTGTGATATTGAAAGAAACAACATCCTTCTTTCATGGTCTTGCCAGACGAGACTGTCCACTCAGCTCTTCACATTGACCTTTTCAGGCAGTGCATTCCCAATTAAAACAACACAAAACATTGAAGAAAACCCCTCCTCTCTCAACTCTCCTTCATTTGCCAATTACCTTAAGTCTGTATCCTCTGATGAATGACCCCCACACACCCCCACCACCTCCTTCCAAGTCAGGAATAATTACCTACTTATTCAAAGCATATCATTAAAACAGAACTATGACTACAATGTGACTAAACTCGTTTTTACAATGTGTTTATTTTTTGACAGTCAGGAAGCATTCAAAAGCACACAGAATGAACACAAACTGATCCAGAGGTTGTGGCATTGAGACACACAGATCAGTCTGGGCCAAAGGAAGAAACACTGCGATAATTTTGACCTACCTGGAAAAATGAATCAATCCTTGTCACTTATCTCTCCTCAAAATGATTCAGTTACTACTAATGTACAGCTTGCCCAGGCTGATCTCAAATGTGAGGTCTAATCACAATCCACACACAGTTGAATAACTCACTATCACTGCACACACAAGAAGAATGACTACCTAGGTATCATCCTTGCTGACAAATCAGGAAATAGTCTCACTATAACTGGGTCTAACGCCTGGTACTCCCTCATTTAACAGCGTATGGGTGCAGTTACAATACAGGGACTGGAGTGGTTCAAGAATGCAGCTTGCCACCATCTTCCCAGGAGCAATGAAGGATGGACAATAAAGGCTGGCTTAGCCAGTGACATCCACATCCTGCGAAGGAATTTAAATGAAAGGTTCAATGACCTCTCTAGAGATAAGCAGAAATCCATTGAGATCCCAGTGCAGTACCAAGGGAGTGCTGCACCGTCAGAGATGCTACCCTTCAAATGAGACATTACACGAGGATCATTCTGCCCTCCCAGCTTAATGACAAATCCTGTGGCACTAACTTGAAGAGCAGCAGGAGGTCTCACCCCTGCTGTCTAGCAAATATAAAGTCCCCAACCAATGTCATGAAGAGATCATGTAGTCATCCTCTCATTGTTATTGTGGGATCTTGCTATGCATAAAATGTCTTTTTTTTAAATTCATTCATGACATGTGGGTATCACAGGCTAGGCAGCATTTATTGCCCATCCCTAATTGCCCAGAGGGCAGTTAAGAGTCAACTCCATTACTGTGGATCTGGAGTCACATGAAGGCCAGATTAGGTAAGGATGGCAGTTTCCTTTCCTAAAGGACATAAATGAACCAGATGAGATATTGTGACAATCAACAATGGATTCATGGTCATTGTTAGACTCTGAATTCCAGATTTTTATTGAATTCAATTTCTGCCATCTGCTGTGGTTGGATTTGAACCCAGGTCCCCAGAACATTACCATGTTCTCTGTATCAACAGTGCAGTGATCAGAACCATTGGATCTCCTATATTTTTTTCTCCACAATATGACAGTAATGACACTTTCTTTTTAGCTCAGAGCTGACATGAGAAGCAGCATGTCTGAACAAGGAGGCAACACCTCGGGGTGAGCCACATACTGGGGGGGCAAAATGTAAATAGGAGAGGGCAATTTTGGTTTGGAGACCAGCAGCCATTAGCTGCCTAAAACAGCTGATCCACTATCACTAGGAGTTGCTACACAGGTTGGTCGATAGGAGAACATGTTCAATATTTCCTCAGCACAGCTAAACATTGGGCATTGGAAGGAAACCCAGCAATGCACACAACCCATCACATTGAATATTGAAACAAGTACTCCCCCTGTTAATTCAGGTCTTTTATCAGTTTCCTGCTTAGAGGAGTTCAGAATAGCTTTGGTTAGACCACACTGAGTTACATATGGGTTCCATACAATAAAACTATGTACACGCACCAGAGATGTATTAGAATGGTACCAGATAGAGAGTGATTCTTATGAGGGAAGATTAAACAGGCTGAGGTTTTGCTCTCAAGCCAACCAAAGGTTGAGCTTTGACTTGATAAAAGGTCTTTATGGTAATGAAATAGTTCAATAGCATAGTCAAAGAGATGCTGTAACTCATGGGCAAGTCCAATGTAGGAATAATAAATACAAGATTCACTATTGATCAGGAATTCAGGAGAAAACTCCACCCAGACAGCGGGAAGAAAGTGGAACTTGCTCCCACAGGATTGGCTGAGGGGAATAGTTTTTTTTAATTCATACACAGGATGAGGGTGTTGCTGGCCAGACCAGCATTTATTGCCCATCCCTAATTGCCCAGAGGGCAGTTAAGAGTCAACCACATTGCTGCGGGTCTGGAGTCATGTATAGGCCTGACAGAGTAAGGATTACCAGAGTCACTTAAAGGAAAGCTGGACAAGCTCATGCTGGAGAAGGGACCAGATGGAGAGGTTGATAGGCCTGGATGTAGGGAGGGCAGTAATGGGTGGGGTGGTAGTTGCTCGTATGGGGACGACCAGTTGGGCTGAATGGCCTGTTTCTGGACAACAAATACTGTGTTTAAAGCAGGTACATAAATATTCTAGAAAAGGATACTTTGCCCTATCTATCTCACTCTGAACTTTCACAGTGAAGGGTGACACACTGCAGTTTTACAGCAGTCTGGCACTCTGATTAATTTGGGAGATAACTTTGGTTTGTTGGTGCTAACAACAAATGTTCTCTATTCCAGCTAGAGCTGGTGTTCCATTCAATGTCACTGAACTGTCAAAGTGCTGTCGGTGTGATCCTGCTGTGTACACACTCCCTAGCTGCAGCCTTAATATTACAGTGAGCTGTGTGTTGGAATGGCGACTGTGTATACACACCAGGCTGGAGATTAGAAATGGCAGAGATCAAAAACACCCTTCACACTGGCATCGCTTCTCTTTAAATGACAACATTCTATTTCAAGTTAAATCACGCGCACATCCAAATACAGCAATTGTACAGGTCAGATTTCTCCCTCCTTACAATGTTGGAGAGAGAAAAACGGGATAGTCTGTCTTACCTGACTAACTTAAGAAAGGTCACTGGACTCAAAATGTTAACTCTGTTTCTCTTTCCACAGACACTGCCAGACCTGCTGAGTTTCTCCAGCAATTTCCACTTTTGTTTCAGATTTCCAACATCCGCAGTTCTTTGGGTTATGTTAAAGCAACAGTCGATTTATTTGTCAGCCATGACTCAGTGCTCTCACCTCTAAGTCAGAAGGGTGTGGGTTCAAACTCCACTCTAGGACAGATAATGTAGTCTAACTGTCAGTGTAGCACATTGAGAATGCACTGTTGGAGGTACCATCTTTCAAGTGATTGCAAAATACCATTCTTTGCCAAAAAAAAGGGGGTGTTGTCTCAGTCAATTCTAAATCCATGACCAAAGTCACTAAGAAAGCCCATATTACCTTGTCACTTAGCTCAGGGCTATTTGCAGACTCTAGCTTTGCACATAATAGTTGACAGGCTACACTTCAAAAGTACTTTGTTGGTTATAAGTGCTTTGTGGTATTATGCAAGTTCCTAAATAAATGCAAATTCTTCTTTACTGCAGCGATATTGTTCCTTCATCTGATTGAAGTTACAAAGCACTGTGTTTGCAGTGGTGCAATTTTTTTTCTGCTCAGGATTCTGGGATAAAGGTTGACAGATGCCAATGGTCCTCTGGAACCTTGCCAAGAGACCACTGCAGCTTTCTGTGATGGATGTTGGCAGCAGTGCAACAGCTGTCAGGTCAGGGCAAGCACGTTTTGGAGGGACATCGCTTTCCCCACCTCACACAGGTTTCCTTTTAGGCTCTGGGCAGTCATCAGCAAAGAGATTCAGAGGAAATGAGTCCTGGCCTCGTTGAGGAATGCATAGACTCATTACAACATCTCCGCAAGAAATGAAGCCAAACAATTTTGCACGAAGCTTGAAGGACCTCATAGATGGGATTTTGCAGTTGAATATGTTCCACGCTCGGTGTGCTGAAATGCTGAGTTCATTGTTGTTCTCTGAGATTTCTCCAGAACGCCTCATACTATTTTTGACCCACTTCAGTTTCTGCCTCACTTAGGCTGCAGAATCATACAACACCTTACAATTATACAGCGCCTTTAAAGTGAAATAAATATCCTAAAGGGCATGACAGGAATATTATCCAATAAAATTTCGAATCTAGTCAAATAAATTATGTTGGATTTACGAAGTAGGCCATTTGGCCCAACTAATCCAAGC